CCTTTCCTCAGCCCCCTTTTCCTCAGCCCCCTTTTCCTCAGCCCCCTTTTCCTCAGCCCCCTTTTCCTGCAGCCCCCTCCTGTGCCTCTCCCAGCCTCACTCCAGGGCTTTAGCCCCCTTGCAGCCCCCAGTTTAGCCATCCATCCACCCATCCATCCACCCACCCATCCATCCATCCATCCGTCTGTCCCAGGCTGCCCCTGCTCCACACGCTCCCGTTCCCCTCTGGCCCCACTTCCTTTGCCTCTGGGATTTTCCCTCCTGCTTCTTCCCTCCAGAGCCTCACTGGCACCAACTCCTTCTTGCCCCCAGGATCTTTCTGTTCTGGTCCAGTCAAGCTGGAGCTGAGATTTTCCCTCCTGCTTCCTCCAGAGCCTCGCTGGCTCCAGCTCCTGCTTGCCCCCATCTTTCCACCCTGCTCCAGTCCAGCTGGAGCTGCTCCTGCCAAAGGGCTTGGGCCAGGGGCCTGAGGACATCACAACCCCCACAGCACTTTCTAGGATGAAGCAGCTGGTCCTTGGAGTGCGGGCAGGGGGCTGTGGTTATCCAGGGGGTCCCACAGCGTCCCTGGTAGGTGGCAGGAACACAGCAGGGAGGATTCACCAGTTGCCAGCGTCCGTTGCCTCTGGCGGGTTTTGGGCTCCCTCCCTCCTATCCCACCCCCCCAGGAGTTATCCCAGGTGCTCTGTGCCTCCTCGGCAATCCCTCCCTTGGCATCTAGGTGGCGAGGGATTCCCGGAGACCCCAAACGCTCCTGTCCTGCCGGGTGCCGGTACCTTGACGGCGAAGGCGAGCGCCACGAAGCCCAGGCAGCAGAAATTCATGTAGAGGGTGTTGAAGATGGCCCAGACGAGGTGGTCGCGGGGCGGGGGGGCGGCGGGGGGTGGTCCCCGCTTGCGGGGCGGCTCGTCCTCCCGCGGGTACGAGGTGTCCATGGCCACGGAGAGGGGCACCCGCGGCTCCAGCAGCCTGAGGGGAGCACGGCTGGGCACCTCTTATATAGCCCTGCCCCGCTAAATATAAACCTGGGAAATTACAGCTCTGCGGGATGCGGTTCTCCAACAGGCCGGGCTGGGAGAAGCGCTGGGATGGCGAGCCTGGGAAAGCTTTTTATAGCCAGCTTTCCCGCCTGGGATGAGGGGCATGGGTGGCTCCAGCGTGGGCAGTGCCGTGAGGTGACTCCAACACCGTCTGAGGGTCATCCCAAGACAGACCGACCCCCGCGGCGCTGGCTGGCACCGCGACCTCCAGCCCCAACCCTCCAGGTGAGCTGGGCAGGGCTGACCCCTCCTTGGCAGCACCTTTGGGCTACGGGATGGATGAAATGGCAGGTTAATAGGGAAAGGTGGAAGAACCGCATCCACGGGGCTCCCTGGCGGTGGCAGGGGGAGAGGGCGCTGCAGGGGGTGGGTGGTGGAGGGGTGGGCAGCCAAAAATCACGGAGAGTCTTTAATTTCCTTCTTTTGCCACACCTGAGATTCTGGAAAGGAACTTCCTTGGGATCTGGGCTGGAAGCACTCTGCCCTGCGGCGGGATGGAGGCAGGGCAAGGAGGAGGAGGAAGAGGAGGAGGAGAAGAATAAAGAGGAGGAGGGAAGAGAAGGAGGAGGGTCCCACGAAGCCGTGCGAGGACCCTCTGCTCTGTCCCGTGGCGAATGAGGTGACAACGAGGGGGTTTGGCAGGACGAGCTTTATTGGTGGCTCATCAGGGACTGACAGGTGTGTCACAGGTGCCAGGAAGCGCAAGAGCAAAGAAAAGGAGGGGAGGGGGCTGCCCCCCACGCCCCCCGCCGGGCCGCCCCATCCCCTCCCGCGGCTGTGCGGGGACACCCGCGGGGCAGCAGCGAGGAGACGGGGCTCACTCCCCTCGCCCCCGAGCCCCGAGCGGGCACATTTGCGGGGCAGGAGGAGGGGGAGAAGCCCCCCGCGGGTGGGGGCCAGGCGGCGGTCAGGGGTTCTCGATTTCGATGCTGTTGAAGATGATGATGACGATGATGATGAGGCCCACCAACATGAGGGTTACCAGCACGGAGCAGATGATGTTTGCCACCCTGGCACGGGAGCCGTGACGCCGGGCACCCTCCAGGTCCCCCAGCAACTTGCAGTCACGGGCCTGGAGGGGTAAATGGGAGGGCTCAGAATGGGGGGAACTGGTTGGGGGCCCAACCCGGCCCCCGGAGGCGGCTGCGGGGTTGTGCTGGGACCCCAGGGATGTGTCACCCGGGGCAGGGGGGGAAGCCACCGGGCACTGCCTGTTCCTCCACCTGCCCGGCAGTCACGGCAGTGGGGGGTGCAGGCTCGGGGGGTGGCACACAGCACTGGGGTCCCGGGGCGGGGTGGAAATGGGGGCTTGGAGATGGGAGGGAGGATCTGGGGTCCAGAGTGGGAGGTGGAATCTGGGGACCGGGGTGGTGTCAGGGAGGGCTGGGTCGGGGCGGACAGGACTGGAGGGTCCCGAGGTGAGGGAAAGGTCTGAGTCGGGCTGGGTCGGGGGCTCCCGAGTCGGGGAGGGGGTCGGGACATGTCGGGGGGTCTCTGGCTGGGTTGGAGGGTCCTGGGTCGGGGAGAGCGTCGGGACGTGCCGGGCATCCCGAGCTGGGTTGGGTCAGGGCATCCCAAGCCGGGGAGAGGTCGGGACGTGCCGGGGGTCCTGTGCCGGGCTCCGTCGCGGGGTCCTGGGAGGAGCTGGCTGGGGGTCGCTCTGGATGAGGTGTCCCGGGGCCGATCAGGGCTAGATCCGGGGTGTCGGGTGGGGGTCCCTGGTCGCCCCCCTCACCTTGATGGAGTAGACGAGCGGGGGGAAGCCGAGGCAGCCCAGCCCGAACACCGCACACCACAGCACCACGTTGAGCAGCGACCAGAGCACATAGTCCCGGGGCGGCGGGTCCGCCCGGGGACCGGGGGCAGCCGACCCCCAGCCGGAGGACTGCAGTGGGATGGACACGTCCGCCTGTCGGGTCTCCATGGCCGGGAATGAGTTCCTGGAACTGGAATGGAGCTCGCCCAGGGCGGGGGATTGGCCCCGCACCGCCCCGCGCGGGGGGCGGGGGGGGGACGGACACGGTCATCTGGGACCCCCACCCCGCGTGGGCTGGGGGTGTAGGGCAGCTCTGGGGGACCGGGGGGGCTTAAGGAGATTCGAGAGGCTCCGAGGGGAGCCTGGGGTCTCCAGGGGACCCTGCGGGGCTCCAATGGGACTTGAGGACTTTGGGGGGCTTAAAGGGTCTTGGGGGCTCTGAAACGACTCTGAGGAGATTTTGGGGACTCCGAGGGGACTTGAGGGGTCTCCAAGGGAGCCTGGGGACTCTGAGGGCACTTGGGGGAATCCAGGGGGGGCTTGGGAACTTTGGGGGGATTCAGAGAGACTTTTGGGACTCCAAGGGAACTCCGGGGGACTTTATGGACTCCAAGGGGACTTTGTGAACCCCAGTGGGATTTGAGGGGACTTTGTGAACCCCAGTGGGATTTGAGGGGACTCTGGGGACTCCGAGTGGAGTCCATAGGACTTTGGGGGACTTTGGGGTTGGAGTGGACAGACTGGAGGGAGCTCTCCATGGCAGCCCCGTGTGGTCACGGGCTGGAAGAAGGTTTTGCTGGTGGCTGGTTTGGACTGGGAAGGGGTCAGTTTTTTCCATGTTGGTTTGTATGGGGCTGCACTTTGGATTTGTGCTGGAAGCTATTGACAAAAACAGGGAGCAGGAGGAAGAGGGGATCTCACAGCAGTGGCCTTCGTTGTCCCAATTCCCCATTGGATGTGCCGGGATTTGGGCAGGCCAAGGGTGGGGCTAGCCAGGCAGCACATCCCCGTTTGCAGCAAAGAGCCCGTGTTTTCCGGGAAGAAACGGAGCAAAAAAAAAAAAAAAAAATGATTCACTGGGCGCTCAGTGCCAGGGATCCTGCAACAAATACCCGCTGTGTTCGTGAGTGGGATTTCTGACATCTTACGAATGCGGTGTCCTGCCAGGAACCCGAAGTTCTTGGGGAGAGGGAAAACCAGGGTTTTGTTCCCATCCTTGCGGGGCCCCAGCCCCGAGGACCAGGGCCTGCCCAGGGGAGGGCGAGGAGCACGGAGGGGAAGGGGGAAGCCAGGACAGCTGCGTAGCTGAAGCTCTGCCAGGTGGACTCGGGCCAGGATTTTCCGCGGTCCCCGCGCGGGTCACTCCAGGCAGGGAGCGGCACGTGGGGCGGCCGGAGGCGCGAGGATCGCTGCCTGCTGCCCTGCCCTCTTCCCTGCCGGCTCTGGGACAGGGATGGCTGGTTCTCCGTGTGGCTTCCACCGAGCACAGCTTCCTTCCCACCCCCCCCCCCTCCCCGGGGGGGGGGGCTCCCACCAGGGGCCCCCCCCCCCCCCCGCCCTCCCCCCCCCCCCCCCCACAGGACGGGGAGAGTAATCGTGAGGAAACTGGTGGTGTGCTGAGGTGAAACAACGAAACCAAAAGCCGTGCACGCCAGCAAGACACATCATTTGTTCCCCGCTCCTCATGGCAGCTGTTCCCGGGACAGCCAGGGAACCTTACCAGTATCCCAAATCGCCGAGGAATCCAGCCCCGGGAGATGTGCAGCACGGCCACTCGGGATGGAGCCACAGCACCCACTGCCCCCTTCCCTCCGGGAGCCTCTCCAGCCCCTCTGTCCTGCACAGTCACATTCCAGTTCATCCTGCTCAAGCCCTTTGCACATCCTGCCTCCCCCAGTCCAGCTAATCCTCAGCTCTGCTTGCTCCCAGCCCTCCCAGAGAGCCGGTGAGGAGGGGGGTGCTCTGGGTGACACCCTGGCACAGGTGAGGTTCTCCTCCCGCCCTCGGGGTGACCCTATGGCTGCAGTATCCGCGTTCATGGAGCCGGGTGTGTCCCCGAGCATTGTTTCTGCGATGAGAGACAATTTTCCCTCCCCACCTCCCGCCAGGCACCTCCAGCTGCCGATGTTGTTTCTTAACCAGCCACGCTGCTGGTGGGGGGGAACCCTGAACCTCTTCCTGCCGAAATAAAACCGAGCCGGGGCAAAAGTGAAAGAAATCTTTATTTGAACCAGGTTTTCTCCAAACAAAGTGAGAACGGGGACTGTTTCGGGTCAGCTGGGGCTCCGAACCCAGAGCAAAGCAGCAAGCAGGTCACAGCCGTTTTGGGGGTGCTCAGCTCCCACCCGAGGAAGGACGTCCGTCCCCAGGCACTTCCAGCATCAGCAAGGGCTCAACAACAGCTCTGGGCAGCGAGGAAAGCAGGACAGGACCCCGGCGGGCCCCAGGGGCACCCCCTGGCGCTGGGGGGGTGAGTGGAGCTCCTGGCAGGCACTGGGGGAACTCGCTGCCGCTGGAGCAAGGAGGTGCTAAGCGGGCTAGCCGTGGCCGTAGTTTGGGGTTGCGGTGCTGAGCACCACGGCGACGACGATGATGGTGATGATGATGGCGGTGAGGTTGAGCACCAGGGCCGTGATGTTCAGGCACTTGGCCGTGGAGCCGTAGCTCAGGGCCCCGCTGTGGTCACCCAGCACTTTGCGGTCCCTGGACTGTGGGGAGGCACAGGGGAGAGTCAGTGGGGTCGGAGGGGGGTGGCCCCGGGGGGCTCAAAGCTGCAGGCAGGTGTGAGAGGTGCCGGAGGTTGCCACCCCGGGCTGAATCCCCCCCAAAACACCAGGGGTACTCCAGGACGCTGTGGGGCCAGGGCTCCATGGAGAGGGGGCTCTGTGGGGTCCACGGGGGCTCCATGGGGCCAGGAGTCCATGGACAGGGGGCTCTGTGGGGCCAGGGCTCCATGGAGAGGGGGCATCTGTGGGGTCCATGGGGGCTCTGTGGGGTCCATGGGGGCTCTGTGG